AGTACTGGGGTCAGATGACCCCGGACTCCTTTTGAAGATCCCCAGGGTAGGAGCGAGCACCACTTCCCTTGGAAGTTGGTTCCAGATCCTAGCTGCCCTAACAGTGAAGTAGCGCCTCCTAATATCTAGCCTGAATCTACTCTCAGTCAACTTATGGCCGTTATTCCTTGTTACCCCCAGTAGTGCGCAGGAGAACAGGGACTCTCCCATTGCCTGCTGGTCCCCCTTGGCCAGTTTACAGACAGCCACCAGATCCCCTTTCAGCCTTCCCTTGTGTAGGCTGAGCAGGTTCAGGTCCCTTAGCCTCTCCTCGTAGGGCCTGCCCTGTTTCCCCCGATCATGCAAGCGGCCCTCCTTTGGACCCTCTCAATGCTGTCCACATCCCTCTTGAAGTGCGCCTCCCAGAACTGGACGCAGTACTCCAACTGCAGCCTGACCAGTGTCGCATAGAGGGGGAGGATCACCTCCTTGGACCTGCTTGAGATGCATCTGTGAATGCATGACAAGGTGCGGTTAGCCTTCTTGGCTGCATCCTCACATTGGCGGTCCATGCTCATCTTAGAATCAATGACTCCAAGATCCTTTTCTGTCTCTGTGCTGACAAGAAGGGAGTTCCCCAGCCTGTAGGTATGCTGCTGGTTCTTCCTCCCCAGGTGCAGTACCTTGCACTTGTCAGTATTAAAACCCATCCTGTTCTCATCCGCCCACCCCTGTAACCTGTCCAGATCTGGTTATAGTCTGTCCCTCCCTTCTAGCGTGCCCACCTCTCCCCACATCTTAGTGTCATCTGCAAATTTGAACAAGGTGCTTTTCACCCCCCTGTCCAAGTCACAGATGGAGATGTTGAACAGTGCAGGCCCAAGGACCGAGCCCTGGGGGACCCCACCATCCACATCCCTCCAGGTCGAAAATGACCCATCAACCACCACTCTCTGGGTGCAGCCCTCTAGCCAATTTGCAACCCATCCGACTGTGTAGGCATTAACACCACAAGTGCCTAATTTTTTTGATGAGAATGGGGTGAGAAACCATGTCGAAGGCCTTCCTGAAAGACTGTAGTCCAGAAAGACTACATCCACCGCAACACCTGCGTCCAAGGATTTTGTGACTTGGTCATAGAAGGCCACCAGGTTGGTCTGACAGGACCTGCCTCTAATGAACCCATGTTGATTGCCCCTAAGCATAATCTCCCCTGCTGGTCCCTTGCACATATGCTCCTGGATAATTTTCTCAAAGAGCTTCCCCAGGACCAAGGTAAGACTAACAGGCCTATAGTTTCCTGGGTCCTCCTTCCTCCCTTTTTTGAAAATGGGGACCACGTTGGCCCTTTTCCAGACCTCTGGCACCTCTCCAGAGCACCACGAGTGCTTGTAGAGCTGTGCCAGGGGTCCTGTAATGACCTCTGCCAATTCCCTCAACACCCTGGGGTGGAGATTGTCAGGACCTGCTGATTTGAACATCTAGTACCACCAGAAGTTCCCTGACTAGGTCCTCACTGACCCTGGGCCTGGCTGCACCTCCCCTGGGTCCGTCTGGGATCCCAGTTGCGGGATGCCCCGGTTCCTGCTCAGAAAAATGGAGGCAAAGAAATTGTTAAAGAGGTTAGCTTTGTTGTTCCTACCCTAATTGTCTTACCCTGATCATAGATTTAACATAGGAAGAAGCCAGAATAAATAAAACGAAATGATGAAAATTTGGAAATTCTGAAGAGCAGGTTCGATGGACATTTGGCTGGGATGGTATCTTGCCCTGAGCAGGGGGCTAGATTAGACCTTGTGAGGGACCTTCCTATGATCCCTACTTTCCTATGATCCCACAAGTGTTGAACATTATACAGTATATTGATTAACAAGGTAGAAGACATAATTCTTCACAACTGCTGCCAACTGTTTTTGAAGGGTTCATTTGTAGAGGTAAGATTTCCCACAGTTAGCAACAATTTGCTCTAAGGACAAGTCCTAATTATGCTAAAGTCAATGGAAGTTTTACCAGTGATTTCAATGGCAGCCTGTCCCACTGTTTTTGTAATATTAAAATAATGCTATATGCACAGCATCTTCTCAGAGATTTACATTTAATAATCCATCCAGGGGATGGATAAAAAGTAAAACAATATTAAAAATCAGATTAAAAAGAATTAATCCCAACATATACATTCCACATACTGTATATATATTGCTCACTTTCTGATTCCATTAGAAGCTAGTACCTTGTCATTCAGTTATATAAATGAACCAAAATAGAAGTCTGGATTCCAACTATATACTGAAGATAAATATAATTAAAGCAAGTAGTTATTACAAAAAAAGGGGCTATCAAACAAAAGGGTAAGAAGATCAAATCTCAAAGCTGTGAACAGTTATTCAAGGGATAAAGAGAAGTGAACTGAATAATAAACACACACAACTATAACTAGATTTGTTTACTTTTAACATAATATATTAATAGTTTTTATACTTACAGGAAATGGCTCTAGTCCCTCCTGAATTACAAAGCCTTCAATGACATGTGTCAGAATCTGTGGTTTAACAATAGCCTGTGGAGGTCTGTTTTCTAGGCTAGGAATGCTATTAGGCATTGATGTGCTGTTACTCCTTGTTGTTGCTGCTGGAAGCAGAAGTGGAGGCGGTGGAATAGATGTATGTGAAGGGTCTAATGGAGATTTAATTACTGAGGCACTCACTGAAGAAGCCACTGCAGGAAGTCCCACTTGTTCTGGAAAAAGTAATGTAAAATATTTTATATTATATTATTACTTGGGACCAGGTACTTTAATAGAGTTACAAAAGGCAGACAGAGAACACCTGGATTCCTGTATTCTTCATTTTGTAAATGTAGATTTCCTCTCAAGTTTATACAGACATTTAAAATTTATACAAAATTATGTCTACCAGTTTCAATACCAGACTTGCTACACAAATGAATAGTTCTCACATTTAGAATTTTTTCCCAACATTTAAACAAATTTATCCTCTATTCAACAGCTCCTAGACCAGTGGTGCACAACCTTCTTGCCTGGTAGGCTGGAGTGGCAGTGCCTGATCCATTTATGGACTGAATCCAGCTGGTATTCCTGATCTAGTGCCCGGGCAGGCATAGCAGGCACCACCTGGCCATGTGGAAGGGGGCAGGGAGCAGGCTGGCCCAAAGGAGCTTGCCCCAGCTCCATGGAGAGGGAAGGGGATGTGGCCAGGTCCTAACCCAGCCCTGCAGGGAGGGAAGGGGACATGGCTCAGCACCCAACCTAGCGCACAAGGAAAAAGGACATGGTCCACCTCCAACAGAAGGAAATGCAACCAAGCCCTGCGGCAAAACGGGGTGTGACCAGGCCCCAACCTGGCCCTGCAGAGGGTACAGGGAGTGTCCTGGTCCTGAAGGGGAGGGGGCATGGCCAGGCCCCAACCTGGCCCCACAGGGGAAGGGGGTGTGGCCCAGCTACAATGGGAGGTAAGGGGGCATGGTCCAGCCCCAATTCAGAAGGAGGGGGAGTGTGGCCCAGCCCCACAAGGGAAGGGGTTGCAGCCCAGGCTGGCCCACTGCACAGGGCTTGTGTATTTGGCAAAGGGGATGGTGGCTGTATTAATGGCCATTTCTTTCCCACTGCCAAATTTCCTGACTCGTGGAAAGTCCCGTGGGCTGCATTTGGCCTGCAGGCTAGAGGTTGAACACTCCTGTCCTAGACTTATCTACCTTTGACCACCACAAATAATTGTGAAATATTTGTATTCTGTAGCCCAGAGTCATGCACTTAGATTGTAATTCAACGAACAGGAGCAGTGACCAAAGTTTACAGACACGAGTGTCTAAAGTGGGGTTTCAGCAAGGCTTTGTCCAAAGTGGAAAGGGGGGGGGGGGGGGGGGGGGGGAGAGGAGGCAGGGAATGAATCCATATTTAGGCCTTTCAATAGAAGTGATCCAATTTTCTGAGGCACAGAACAGTGCCTCTTCACATCTGAAGGTCAAGCCACTTCTATTTAGATACATAAATAGAACCCTGACTGTAGAAAATCAAGTTTGAGTGTTGTGCTTTGAATCTCTTATGTGTCTAAAAAAGGCCTACTTATCTACAGTACTGAATATAAAAGTATCTATAAATATTAAGCACCCACAAGCACATATACATATGTATTATATATAGGCTTGGCAGAATTCATTTTTTTTTGTAATTCGATGGCTAAAATCAATGTTTATTTTTAAGCATTTATTTTGATTTTTATTAAAATTTTCAAGATTGTGCAAAATTAAGAGTGTTTTTGATTTTTTCAGATTTAAATTTTCAGGGTTACGTGAAATTAGGGGTGTGGGGGACAAACAATTTATTAATGACAGTATACTGTTAAAAACTTTATAAAATCAGAAGTCAAAATATAAAAAGTTAATATCCGTAAATCAAGAAATCACACCTGCTTTAAATCATTCTGTCCATTCATCAGGAAAGAGCTGGGCCAGCAGAGACCAGAAGAGGAGGGCAGCAGCACTCCCAGAGCTCTGGGAGCATGGGCAGAAGTGGCAGCCATCCTTGATCCCCGTGCTTGGCCAGCCCAGCCCGGCCCAGCCCAGCCCAGGCAAGACACTGTTGCCACTGGGTTGGAGCTTTGAATACTTCCCCCCTCCTCACTCTGGACTTTGGGGTAGTGGTTTATTTAAGTAGCCTGCTATCCCCCTCCCAACTGCTTCTCCCACCTGTGAAAAAACAGCTGATTCCTTAACTGATGAGTCATTAGGCAGAAGGGACAACTAACTGCTTAATTAATGAGTAATTAGACTGCCCACGGTTTTCCTCTTTACACCCTCCACCCTCTGTCCCCCCATTTCTCTTGCTCCACCGTCCAGTAACAGGGGTAAGGCTTCCCCATTACAGGCCCCTTTCTCTAAATTTCAGTTATTACCAATGGAAATATTTTTCTATCAGTCTGAGAGAGAGAGGTGATTTCACTGTTTATTGATAAAAAAAAATCAAATCCTGCCAAGCCTAATTATATACATATTATTAGCTTTCAACTGAAAACAGTACAGTTCATATAGCTCAACATATCAATTATTTGTTATAAGTGAGTCAATATTTAGTAAATTGTTTTATTTTAAACATGTAATACAAGATCAACTTGGAACCAGTCAGATGTAGACATACTTTAAACTAAAATACCCTACAGATGTCTTGCAGTTTCTTTTGTCCTTCAATACCCTAGCTCTTCTCTATGGCTTCTGACCAGGAGTCACTAAGTTGCTTCTAAAATTCAAAAACATAATGGTCTCCTGTCAAACACTTCCCTTCATCTTTCCAGCTCTAGAGCCTGATGGAATCTTTTAACTGAAACTAATTAAAACAGTAAGAATAAACTTCCATTTAAGAGATCTGTGAATGTGAGACTGATACTTGGATTTAAGGTAAATGAGTTCAAACTAAAGTTTCTCACCAAAATTAATAAAGCCCTGCAACAAGATAGGGGTTAAAAAATAACAAGACAGAAGATGCTCTCCAATACACTGTATTGCTGAGTAGATGAATACTGACATCTAGCTAAGTACATTTGGGGGATTTAAACGTCCAATAACAGGTCTAGGCTAGAAAGAGACCCATGACTAAAGTGTGGGACAAACAAATAGCCAAATTCCCAGAAACTTCTAAACGAGTGACACTACAGACTTCTTTATGTAGTAGATACCTGTGTTTGCTACAACTTAAAAGAAAACTCCTGCCTAAACCCTTTTGAACTCCCCAAAAAGACTCATGGAAATATTAGCTGATTCATGACAGTGTTACAAGCAGGGATGCAGGTTTTCCATTTCCCATGGAACAACAGCAGAAACCGTGGATTTTCCCTTTTACCCAAGAAAAACGTGGGCTTTTCAATTTAATGGAGAAACCCACAGATTTTACTGTTTTGCAAAGAGCTCCGTGCAGGCTGGCAGAGTTTTACCTGCTGAGGGGAGCAGGAGGAGGGGGGTCAGGCAGGGAGCGGCATGTGCATGCACACGGCTGTCAGGCAGCCTGGAGAGCAGCTCCTGCAGGTAAGTCTGTGGGCAGGGAATTGAGGCCCCCACAGGAAGGGAGCGAGTTGGGCATGGCAGGGTTGAGGCTGGAGCTGCTGCCCAGCCAGGCGGTGCACAGGGCTTGATCTCAGGGCCCTGGCGGGGAGCAGGATGAGGTCGCAGGCGGCTCATCTGAGGGGCAGAAGGGGGGTGGAGCTGGCTCTCTGCCGCTGCGTGTGCTCCCAGGCACACAAGGGGGACCCATACCTCCAAGATCTGTACACCGGGTAGGGGCAGGTGTGGGCTGACTGCTGCAGGCTTGGGCTTTCCACCCTGCTGCCCTCCCCCTGAGGTCCCTGTGGTGCAGCGAGTGGGACCTGGCGCAGGAGGGGAGAAAGGGGCTGGGCAGGAAAGCTCCTTGCTGCTGTGAGCTCCACACTGCCCTAGTGACGTGTCCCCTGTGCACCCGGCAGCAGTGGTATGGAGTTGTATCACTCATGGCTCTGGAGCAGGCAGGGGAGCCTCGCCAGGGCAGTGAGGAGCTCACAGCAGCAAGAAGCTTCCCTACATGGCCCCGCTCCGCTTTGCTGCACTGGGTCCCGCCTGCTGCGCCATTGAGCCGCCAGGGGAAGGACAGGTTGAGGGTCACCAGCAGGGCCAGGGGGCTGTTGAGGGGGAGTGAGGCGCACCAACAGAACCAGGGGCTGGGGGGGGGGAATGAGGGACACTAGCATGGCCCAGGGGGCTCTGGGTGGGGGCTCTGGGCACCAATAAGGCTGGGGGGCTGTGAGTAGGGAGTGAGGGGCCTGGACCTGCAGCCTGGTGAGCAAAGGTTGCAGGGAAAGCTCTGATTTTCCATGATAAAAAACCCAAAATGAAATAACAAAATTTATAGGTATTTAGAATTTATTTTATTATAGTAATTGAGACACTGGTAGGCTTCCAAATTGTTTTACAATTGTAAACATATCAATAAAACATTGTGTTCAATTGATATCTATATCTATCTATCTATCTATCTATATAAACAGTATTTAATTTTAATCATGAATTTTGGGGTTTTTAATCAGAGAATTTGTGATTTATTCTTTTTTTTAAAGTCAGGGAAAACCAGGTTCCCTGGTCACAAGAGTAATAATGTAACATGCACAAAGGCTTAAGTCCTTTGCTAGCCACAGGGGGAGCAAGAACAGCAACAATGCATGAAGTTGGTAGTCCATCGCACCTGCCAGAGGAACCTGCTGAAGTGCATATTATGTTCCTCTTCTGCGCAGAAGGAAACTGTACTTGTATGTGATGCTGCCTAAGATTTACTTTCAACTGAAGTAAACACATTGTCTGATCCTGATGCCAATTATCCTCATTAGCACTTGAATGCTGTGAAGTAATTCTATCCTGCCATTTACTTTAAGAAAGAAACTTGCTTCTAATTCCCTAACCCAGCAACATGAAAGAAAGAAGAAAAGGAAAAAAAACCCCAAAGCAAAACAAATCCATCTCTCATTGTATTCTCTTTTGCAAAGGCTGTAGTATGAATTTGTACATTAGGCCTAGGCAGACAAGGTTCTTTGGGTAGAGTGGTTATCTTTTATTAGAAAAACTAAATAGTTGGAAAAACTGTTCTTTGCAAGCTTCCGGGTACAAACACCCTGCTTCAGGCATTAGGCCTATTCATTACTTGCTGAAGTCAAGGAAAATTTTCCATTGACCTCCAAGAACGCTGGAGTGGGAGCACTGTGCTGGAGAGAGAGGTAAGTACTATCATCTTACACATGGAGAAACAGACTTAAAGATTTCAAGGCTCTGTTTGTTGTCAGAGATTGAATTAAGACTGGAGACTTCTTAGTCACCGAGCTGGGAGCTTTTCCACTGGTTGACTTTTCTGTGCGACTGTAGGGGACAGGACTAGGAGAAATGGCCTCAAAACTGCAACAGAGGAAATTTAGGTCAGAGATTACAATGAAGGATTTTCTGACTACAAGAGTGATTAAGCACTGGAACAGGCTAAGTAGTGAAATCTTCATCCTTGGAAGTTTTCAAGGACAGGTTAGACAGACACTTGGGGTTTAGTCAGGAATGATCTTACCTTGAGAAAGCGGCTGGACTAGATCAGAGGTTCTCAACCAGGGGTTGGGGTCACAAGCAGTTTTAAGGGGGTCTGCCTGGCCTGGCACAGGGAGAAGCTGCCTTGGCCCCTCAGGGCTGAAGCAAGTCCTGAGTAAGGGGAGGAGGTGAGCCCGCTGGTGGGCTCACCCAGCCCAGCTCCACAGCCTCCATCTTGCAGGCAAGCCCTGCAGGCAGGCAAGGCTGTCGCTGTTCAGAGCTCCCCACCACCGAGCCCCACCTGCTGCACCCAGGACCATGCGGATGGGGCTGGGGAGTCAGGCTGGTAGAAAAGCTGTCCTACCTTTTGCTTGTATTCTCACCTGACAAAGCTTCCTCTGAGGCGAGTTCCTCACCATTCCCTAAGACTATAGCTGGTGGAGATAAAGTTGGTGGGGTAGGTGTCCTATCCATACGGGCACATTCAGATTCATCTGGCATTTCCTCCTCACACACATTCTCCACTTGATAAATCTGCATTGAAAAAGATAATTGCTTTAGAGATTTCCATTCTGCCATAGCACCCCAAAGACTTACATGAACACAAGCTTCTTGACAAATTACCAATTGGTTTTTAAAATACATTTTCATCTGTTAGTTGCATAAAATCACTTTCTTCCATCATCCACGAACATCAGTGGGTTCTGATGACATCACAGTAATTACAAACACACATTTATAGCACTTGTTAAAATTAAAAGACTAAAGTCTCTATAAAGATTCTGTCTCAACTAACATATATCCTCCTAGGCTTGCATAGTATGAAAAGAGAGAGACCCTCCCTAAAATTTCTGCCTTAAAACTAGAGGGGATTGCTATGGCACTAAGCATAGACACTGAGAGCAGGGGAAAGTCCCTCCAGTGAGAATAATGTTTAGGTAAATTGTCCACAAATAGGTCTTCCCTTAAACAAAAAAGACAGGTTGCAAATATCCCACTAAAAAGGCTGATACAAAGTTAGTAGGACAGGTCTATTTCAACACTGAGAGCAAAAAACAATTGGCTTGAAATGCTTAATGTCAGTTAATTCGTGTTTAATGTGCAAGGGCTCCAGGTATGTGAAGGCTCCTCAATATTTTCCATCTCATACAGCAGCACATCACAGTAATCAAAACGAGCATTTCGAAAGACTATGCCAGGATCATCAACTATTAGTGGAGTCATTATAAAGGATTACTCAAACAAATGAGCAATTTGCTGCCAGCCAGCTCAGCAGATCAGAGACTATAAATCCGTGCAACAAAAAAGAAGTATCTAGTCTCATTCCTGGGCCCAATCTCTGACTGAACTGCAACAGGGCTGAGATTATTATTACCTTCCTAATATGAATGAAGAATAATTAATATACTGGTTCCTTCATGAAACTACTAGCCTGAAACAAAACATCTGAGAGGTGTGTATTCCTCTGTTCCCAGGACAATCATTGGGGCATTCCCAGGAAATGATGACACTTCATTTTAGCAGAGGGGGCAAGTGAAATACAGGCATTGTTACTGTAAAGAAAATGCAGAAGGAAAAAAAAAAGAGAAAGATACACATAGGGACGAAAAAAAGTGACAAGAAAAAGAAGGATGAAGGAAGAGAAAGGAAGGAATAGTAGTAGTCCTTTTTACTTTTCTCTGTTTTATTCAGGCTGAAAGAATATTAAACATGATCTTAAAGAGACAGAATCGTTCTTTTTTGTATGAAGGTCTACTACAACAACTGCATGGCACTCCTAAATATCTGTGTCCATGAAGAAAAAGTCTACTATATAAACTATATATATTCTGAGCACAAGACCAAGAAAGATCAGTGACTACATAATGTTAATTATGTTATTAGCAGCATTAAACTTTATTTGGAACAGACACTGTTATATTTCTGGCCAATCAGAACTGAACTTGTGATGGCTCAGTGATTTTCTAAAATAAAGCTGGTGTCAGATTAGGAAGGTGGAGACCAGGAAATAAATCTTATTTTTGTATGTAGTTTGAAATTCAAAGTAGTACAATTTAAAGAAAGACAATAAGCTTCTGTTTCAAAGTCAGGTGTTTCCAACAAGCTGTGTAGGAATCACCCCAGCTGGATGTCTGCCTCTGTTCTGCATAAAATCCAGAAGGCAAACACAATTGCCATAATATTCCACTTGCATTTTTTCACTTTCTGTTTCAAGTGTAAATAAGTCAATGGGTGTTATTTAACTAATACATCTTATATAAATCTTACCTCCACCACTACATGGAGGCCTTATTCATTTGTGCTTTTTCCTGGTAAGCACAGAAGTGCATTAGTTTTCCACTTTTTATGTTCTTTTCAGTGCACATTCATACCCCTTAATATTTCTTAAGCTACTAGTATAAAAGTAACATCACACTTTCAATATTTAACAGACACATGAACCCCCACAAATAATGAGTGAGGAAATAATTGTAATAAGACAATATACAAGATACTCTTTTCATTTAAGCATGCGAGTGGAAACCAATGCAAATGCCTGGGTAGGTGGCCTATAAATATGACAGCTGTAGTAGCTATTAGGACACAGTTCAAGAAAGCTGAGTGACAAAGCACTTAAGCATATACTTAATTTTAAGACCACAGGACTGATCTTACTTATACTTAAGCACATGCCCAAGTGCTTTGCTGTATCAGGGCCAAAGGAATAAAGCCAAAAAACCTTTGGCTAAAAATTCAATGAGATTAGAGACAAATTCTCCCAAGGCAAGGTTTGGGGACAAACAAGAGGTCATTAAAATTTCCGCTATGTCTTTTTTTTTTTTTTGAGGAGACTTTTCAACTGTAGTACAAGCAACTATTGGAGATTTAGTTATCTGTAACTTTCCATTATGGCATCCTGATTTCTGATGTCTACTATATCTAAGATTTTTTCTATTATAAAATATATTTGTGCATATAAAGTTGTACTGTATTAATAGAGGAGTACCAAAAATTCACGGTCCACAGAGTTGTGTTCTGAGCATGTTTTCTACTATGTATGGTCTGTCTTCTAGTCATAGTTTCATAGTTGGTAGGGTCGGAAGGGACCTGAGCAGATCATCAAGTCCGACCCCCTGCCATGGCAGTAAAGAGTACTGGGGTCAAACGACCCCAGCAAGGTGTTCATCCAACCTCCTCTTAAAGACCCCCAGGGTAGGAGCCAGCACCACTTCTCTTGGAAGCTGGTTCCAGATCCTAGCCTCCCTGACAGTGAAGTAGCACCTCCTGATATCTAGCCTGAATCTACCCTCTAAGTCCATACAAAACAGTCCTCAAACTTACTTTTTAAAAATTGTCTTTAATACTTTACATATGTAACTTTAATTTCATTATGATCATATATTCTTCAGCTTCATTAACTGCTTCATTTCCTAAAAATTGGCAAGATTTTAGATGAAGGAGGCTTGCTTTCAACTTTTGGTATAAAATAAATACTGTTCCTTCCTTGCAGTAATCATCATCTGCATTGGGCAACAATTAAAGACAGGCGTACTAGCGAACTGACTGGACTTCCAATGACCTACACTATAGACTCAGGTTCTGTATCTACAGTAGATGTTTGCAGTGTCATCTCTGCCTACTATTTTTGCCCTCTTTATAATAGCCCCATTTTGTACAGGTGTTAAATGTCGACCTTCAGCATATACAAAATCAAATGCTTTGAATTCTCAGAAAGGGTATTCTAGCTTAACAAATGTATACATTTGTAACTTATATTTACACAGGCCAAAAGAAAGGATGGAGGAAATATTTTTGAAGTGAATTAGGTTAATATGACACTAAATGCTGAATATTCCAGGATGCTGCACCAGGAAGTGTCAAGAGGGTTTCGCATAGAAAATGCCTTTTTAAAAATATCAGTTAAGATATACTTCTGTAATCAATAATGATTCTTTTTTCTCTCAGCCCAATACCCAACTAATTCCTGTTAAAGTCAACGTCAACAGACCAACTTAAATATGAAGATTGGCAATGAAGAAATCACCGCTACATGGACACTTTCAAATGGCATAGTACAAATTAAAGCAGCCCTGCCGATTCTTGCACCAAGTTACTCTTAAAACAGGGGTAGGCAATGTTTTTTGGCCAGAGTGCAGAAAAAAACAGAACGTCTATCTTGAAAGGTGCCGGAGTGCCAAAATGCTGCAGCCGGCCCACGGAGCCCGGTCTGCTTGCAGCAGGGCTTGAAGCCTCCCAGTCACCTGCTGGGAGCAGCCTGGGCTGTGGCTGGCAGAAGCTGCTTAAAGCCCAGGCTGGCAGTAGCGTGCCGAGCAAAATGGCCTCGCATGCCACGCTCGGCACACATGCCAAGGGTTTCTGACCCCTGTCCTAAAATGTAGCAAATGTGGTAGGAGAGCCATGTTAGCAACATTACAAATGTGTAATTAAGTTCCTAAGAGAGCCTGGTTTATGCTAGTGGCACCGCTGTTAATGAGAGCTGAATTAAGACTCCTAAGTAGTGGGGCACTTGTCATGTATTCTTGGGCTTCATTATATTTGGAAAAAAAACATTTCTGTAATGAGATATTAACTGTCACAGAAAAAAACAGTTCTGCAAAGACAGGATAGAACATGTGACTGAAGGGGACCATCTGGCCCAGAATCAGTCCCCTGCAACCACGTGTAACCATATAACTGACCAACAATGGGTCAAACCACAGTTTATGAGCCACAGCCAGCTCTTAGGCAATTTCCCAGTGGCTCCTGAAGGAAGAGTTATATGAAAACATTCTCTCTCTTTAGCTGTTTGTTCATTAATTTCCATTTCTGATGTGTTTCTGTTCTTGCTTAGTGTTTAGTCTAAAATGTCATTTAATGGCAAATGAATTGAGATGGGTGCTGTGCCGGGATAACTGATGCTGCAGCAGGCTCAGAAAACAAATAATCCATTTGAGGGTGAAAAAAAATTCTTTCCACCCCAGAAGTAATCAGTAGAAGCCCTGGACCTTCAACAGGATACAGAAGAGCAAACATACTATAGAAAAAAAAAATCCATGTAAGCATAGAGTCATAGAAAAGTACAGCTGGAAGGACCCTCTTGCAGTCTAGTCCACCCCCCTGCTCAAGGTGGGATCATCTCAATCTAAACCAGCCTAGAAAACATTTGTCTAACCTATTCTTAAAAGCTTCAGGAACAAACAAACCCTCAAGCACAACTACCAGACATGATGCCCAAAACATCAAAATATACATGCAAACATATTAAAAACACAAGAGGAAGAAGGATAAAGAAGGGAAGGAAACCTAATCTAGAAAGTGCCAGCACTAACTCCCAGCCTGGCCTGCCTTGTTAGCGTGTATGAACCATAGAGGTCCTGGCTATCTAAACCAGGGCTGTCCAACTTCTGAGTGGCTGGGGCTGCATGCCACACAAGTCCTGGGGACCCTGTGCAGCCAGTGCAGCCTCCCCAGGACCGCATGGGCACATATGCTTCCCTGCCCCCATCTCCCCCCGCCAACTCCTGCCACCCCTCAGGCAGTGTGAGCCCATCCAGCTCACCGGGCCCCTCCCACCACACTGCCTTGCCCACAGACCCTGGCCACAGCAGCAGCAGCAACTGGGGAAGTGGCAGCTGGACAAAAGCCCATAGCCCACATGTTAACCTTTTGTGGCCTGATCTAAACTAAAGCACCTCATTGCAAGCACCCTGAACCCACCTTCAAGGACCCCAGGATATTTCTAATCTACCACTCCAATACAAAGGCCATTCCAATGTTCACTCTCTCTCTCTCCCACTCAGACCGCTTGTCTGGCTTCAACATCTTTTACCAGGCCTCAGTAGTCAAGAAACCCCATGCCCGCACACAGCTGCTTAACATGCATGCTCCTCCCACAATTATCAAGCCACCTTTCAATCTCTTGGAGATGCTAACAACCCGGATAACTAAAGTATATCACCAGCTGTAATTAACTCCACAATCACCCCTATTCTGTCAACCCTTCTCAGAATTAATCAGTTCTCATCTTGAAACTACTTGGGGTGCCCCTAAAATTTTTTCAGCAAGCTAATTAGCGCTTCACTATTCTGATGGCTAGAAACCTTCTTCTATCTAAATTCCAGTCTAAATTTATTCAGAATCAATTTGTACCAGTATAATCCTACAGGACATTTATCTTTTAATTTAAACAATTCTTCCTCATTAATTTCCACCGCAATGTATTTTTGAAGAGTAATTATATCCTTCTCAACTTTCATCTGCTAGGCTAAACAAGCCAAGCTCTTTTAATCTCTTGAAAGACAGCTCTCCAATTTATCATCTGCAAATTTATAAGCATGTAATTGGTTCTTGCATCAAAGTCACTAGTGAAAAATATTAAAAGAAGTGATCCATAGACTGATCACTGCAGAAAGCCACAAATAACTTCTCTCCAATCTAATAACTCCCTTTTCAGTATAATGCACTATAGTTTCTTCCTTCAGCTAGCTCCTTATTCCCTTTATAATTTTTATATAAACCCCCCACAATTAATAATTTCCTGTATGACAATATCAAATGCTTTGCTTAAATCTATTTAGTTGGTCTTTTATTACACTAACTACTTAGTTGGTCTAATAAAAGATAACACATCTACCCAAAGAGGAACCTTGCTTAAATCTAGATATGTCGGGATCACTTGTTATAAAGACTGGGAGCCACCTTTTCAAACACATCATTGGATTCACCTGTTGGGTGCCACACAGCAAGGTCAGTTTTACCAAACCTGACAACAGATTCTTCTTTACTCGGATTTACGGGATATTTCCAGCCAGTGGCCAGAAGGCAACCGTGTTAGAGTGTCTCTCTCTTTTCGTATAACATCAAAAGCTAAAGGAATGTTTCTGAGAACTTACCACAGGGGCTTCAACAGGTACTGGTGGTTGTACTTGAAGGTTTACTGCAACAGTTTGCGGTGGTGGAAGAGTCTGAAATGGCAGCTGGACCAAAGCTTCCGCAGCAGGAAGCTCCTCCTCCGAGACCAAAGTATTTTGCACCAAAACCTGGCCCTGGGATAGAATTTCAGGCTGGACTTGTAAAGACTGCACAGACTGCAAGGGCAGTTGTTGAATCTGTGTTGAAGATGCTGACAGCTGTGGAGGGGCTGCAATTGGGATTGGTGCGGACTGTAAGGCTGGATATTGTTGGTGTGGTGCTGAAGACACTATCTGCTGACCTGGGGACACCAGGGTGGGCTGATCCACTGACCCAATGGGTACTACTGGGGAAGGTGGAAGTGGAAGATGTGATGGAAGATTAAGCTGTTGTGCTACTGGTCGTACTGGACTACCAGTCGGCTGGGGATTCTGCTCTGACTGAAGAGCAGATGGCACAAGAGGATTTGTTTGCGACTGGATAAGTGCTTGTGGATGAATAATTATTGTGGGTGACTGGCTAGGTGAATGAGAAGGTGGGGGAGACACTACTACTGATTGTTGAGCTGACTGGGATGGAGTAGGAGATACTGTTAAAGGAGGAGGATGGATGTGAACAGGGGAACAATGTTGTGACTGGACACTGTTGGGAACTGGAGGAAGACAGTGGCTTTGGAGTGGCACACAGTGTTGTGACGGAGGTGGTTCCTGACTGGGAGGAGTCTGAAGAGCAATTGGCTGGACTTGCTGCTGCTGTTGCAGTATCAGTTGATGGTGGGATATCTTTGGAGGCGGAGAATGAAGAGGAATCTGCTGATGTTTAATGAGAGAATGAGGATGAATTGGAGAATATGAAGCTGTGAGGGGGAAAAAAATGACAATTAGTAATTATTTCCTTTAGTTCAGGGAACACTACAATAAATGTTTAAAGGAGAAAGTTTTCACATTAGAAGAGTAACGTCAGCATAGAACTTGAAGAAGCCATCCAGACAAGCATCAGTTGGAAATTCAATGAAAAATACTCTCTACTGTCACATGTAGCATCTCAAACACAATGCGGTAAGGAATACGTTAATTTTGATAAATTCCAAAGTGAAATGCTGCAGTAGACAATTTAATAAAACCATGTTTCCTTAATAAAATCTAAGGTCAACAAAAATGCAAAGTCATTATTTTCTTGCTGCTAAGTCTAAGATTATTATTAATGAGATCTCCTCTTTTAGTTAAAAAATACATTCAAGTTGAAGAGGAACAGGGATTTAACCTGATTTAACAGAGCCAAAAATGAAAGAAGTTCAGTGGAGTCAAAATTTGCTTAAAACAAATTACCACTTGGGCACTGTTCTTTAAATATGAGCTTTAAAACAATAATGGGCTGGAAGCCCTGTTTTAACCAAGCGTATTTTAGGCCAAATTTGTCAAAACTCAGATGCCCAAAACTGGGCAAATATATGAAGAGTTAGGCTCCTAAAACTGGCCTGATTTCCAGTAATGTTCTTTCTGCTCTTCAAAGAAGCCAGTGACCCCACTTGAATAATTGCCTACAGTAGAGAAACTAACCATACTCCTCCACATATACCCGTCTGCTTTCTTTCTTTCCTTTGATTACTAATTATTATATCACATCTATTTATTTTTAAATAGGAGATGGTTTCTTTTTTCCCTCTGGTTGAAGTCAATTTTGACAAGACAAGGATTCCAGAGCTGTATTCCTTGCAGCCTTACTCTCTTTTCTCTTCTTCTGAAAGCATGGCTTCTCTGCCTCATTCAGACCACTTGCGCGGACTACATTTCTACCCTTTGACTCATCAGGAGATATGAATTTACACAATAACCAATTTAAGTATGTGCATAACCTGATCTTGGTTGACCTCATCCCTCACATTTTTCCCTTTTGTCACGCTTATTACAACTTTTATATTTTATTAGAAAAATCTTTGAGTTGGAAACAGGTTTATTTATGAACATGTAAAAATTCTTAACACAATTGTTTCCTGATCACAACTGAGCCAACTTATGGGTGCCAAAGCAACAGAAATAAATTACATTAATACCTGAACTAGATTATATAGAGAAACATGCATACACACCTTTTTGCTTTCCTATTCTGTCTGTCTGCTTCCATTTCCCTCCCTTCCTCTCTGTGGAAGCACAGAGAATTCTAGTGTATAATTTTTTCCAACACTACTATGGATAACTATTTATCTCTAAAGGATTAAAAACCTGAATCATTAGTGTGGTATCAGACACCCGTGTGTTTTTTATCTGATACACTGCATGTTTAAGTAACAACCTTTCTAAAGATAAAACTTCATCCTACCTGGTGCTATTAACTGATGTATGCTGGATGTCCGTGTGACAGGTGTACTTCGACTCTCGGAAGTTGGGCTCTCTCCTTTTCTATTGCTTTCTGCAGGATCTGGCTGGCTGCCCTTGGTACTGATTGCAGGTTTATTAGGGCACAGAGCCAAAGACTGAGCTTGACTACTGCTCTTTGGTTGGCCAGTTGGGGAACTGGACAATACCCCCGGCTTCTGACTACGCAATGTCAAGTTCTGGACCTAGGAAAAAGGAAAATTAAAAAACAAACATATATACGTGTCTAGCTAATACATGCAAACACCAAGATGATAGCAATAATAATCATTGACTGGATATGTTTTTCATGAATGTTATGAATATAAATGATAAATTGCAAAATACTTCAATATGAAATGGCATAAGTCACAGATTTTCAAGATAAGTAAAAAAAATACTATTCCTGTTTAAATGGATGACAAGCAAATACTTTCAAAACGTAAACTAAATCTTAACTTTATAACATGGGTTCCTTACAAGGCTTTTGAAAAGAAAGAAATTATAACTGGTGGAAAACAGCAGGACGCAAATTTGATTCTGAGTTTGACACATTTCTCCAGTTCTGCTGTTGCTTTATAATAAATGTGTTAGAGTGTTATAGCTGCGATGGTCAAGGCATTCAAAAGCTTGTCTAACTTTATCTAAACTACACAGTTGGGGTGAGGGCAACAGCAGGGCCGCAATTGCTGCTCCCCCTCACTCCCTACCCACAGCCGTGATGTGGGGGAGCTGTGGGTGGGGAATGAGGAGCCTGGACCTGCATCCTGGTGAGTGAAGTGGGCAGGGGGAGCTCTAATTTTCCATGATAAAAAACACAAAATCAAATACCAAAATATATATGTACTTAGAATTTATTTTATTATACTGCTTGAGGCACTGGTAGGCTTCCAAACTGCTTTAAAATTGTAAATAGATCAATAAAACATTGTGTGCTCGCTACAACCTAAACCCCTGCAACTGAGACACATACACACACATTACATACATATATATACATATACCACCCCAACCCCCTCCATACACCCACACAGAGTGGTGTTTCATTTTGATTGAAGATTTAGGGTCTTTTAATGATAGATTTTTTTGCTTCTTCTCCTCTTTCTTTAAATCACAGAATTTGCCATTTTTAAACAGAGAAAACCAGGATCCCTGCCCATGCAACATAAATGTATACAATGATTATTTTCAACAACTGTTCTTTCTACCAGTGGACGTTTTGCTTGTGCTTTCCAGTTAGTCTGTCCTCAGCCCCACAATGCTATTAAGGAAACCAAGTGCCAGCACCCTTTCTCTGCAATATGTGCCAGAGAAGCTGGTATCTAGTTTCAGTGGCTTATACACCCAGGTGAACAGTCCTTCCTTGCTTGCTTGCTGTGCTATCTGCAGGAAGATACTTAATAGTGGTGCTAGGATTCCCAGATGAATTCAGAAATACTGGTGTGAGAAAGCTTTGCACTGGGATGCTTGGGTCCATATTAGATGTACTGGCATGTCTATGAGGTAGTTAGCTGTGTTAGTTCTAAGGTGTCACCCTGCTCTATCTTCTGCCTGATTTCAGATAAATGGTTCAGTATTCATAGGCAATGACCAGCCTTGCCATGCAAGAGAACTCCCTTGAGATCTCAATGGACTGCTAGTCTTCTACCACAGCTTCCTCAGGACCCAGAAAGCTGCTTTCAGTGACCTTGTCTGTGGAAAATGCCATTGAGGAAGACTGCTTCATGGAACCACCGCTATACAACACTCACCCGTAGTGTACAAGGGGTTGGAAGGCCCATTCTCACAAGGGTTTGGCTCAGGGGTCACCCATGCATTCCATCCCAACTATGCACTCCAGGAGGTGAAAGTCACCCTATAATCCCCATAGTATCCTCTTATCTCAAGCAAGTGCTGGTGGAGGATGCCCCCTACCCACTTGTAACCTCTGTCACTGGGTCCTGTCCCACTAGCACCTCACACAGCCTCCCATTTAGTATCTAGGCAGGTGGCTTCCTGTAAACATGCATATCAAACACACTTTCCATTTCCTTACTCTTGTACCCTACCCCAACACCAAGCACTAGCACTTCCTGCCACTTGGGGACAACCAGTATCCTGTTTAATTAGTCTTTACTTAAGCCTGGTGCCACCAGTTGTAAACTGGAGGGCCCTGCATGGTGCCATAAGGATAGACTTGTTATTGGCATGGCTTTCAGCATCTCCCAAAGTTTGACCATTCTGTGGAGAAACAAGGATGCTGGTACACCCCTAAATAGAGGAAGTCATGCTGGTTAGAAGAGGGAGTTGAGAAGGAAGTCCAAGTTTCAGCTTCCCCAGAACCACATGCTGAGTTTCTGGCTGCACTTTCCCTTCATAAGCTCATCTTTGCTTGCCCCACCTGATGCCCCACAAAGTTGCAAGACTTCCTCATAAATTTTCTGCCTTCACACCATGTTTTTATTGGTTTCATTTCATAAGGTATGGGGGAAGGGAAAAAAAAAAGAGAGGAGATTTTATCTTTGTAAGAGTGAAAGAAAAAAGGGAAGCAATCAGGAAAAAATAGAAAAACAAAAAAGTGGCAAAGGGAGAGAAACACAAGTTTCCCAAACCTAGAGATGTTTTGTTCCATTATTACAGACTGTTAGTGAGCTATTCTGCACGCTCTTGCTACTTGACAGATGATACCGTAAACCAAATTCTCCCAGCCAAACATCCCCGTCTAACTAGAAGCTAAACTGTGTGCTAAGCTATCATTACATTAACTGTATTTCCCAAAATGTAGTTTAATGAGAATTGTTGCCTTTTTTTTTTTTAATTTTTTTAAACCAGGGGTTGGGAGATGAGGAAGGAGAGGAGAGGAAAACTGATTCCCCATTCCCATCTAATAAAACACCCTCCAAAACCTAAGGAAATAGATTAATACAGCCTAAGGATAGCAGGCTATTGCTGAACCAGGGCCATCACATCACTAGCTGCTGGTGAAAATGAATCTTTGTGATGTCACTGCTGCTATAGAAACCAAGAGGCAACACAGTGAACATTATATCTGGCATCAAAAGACCATGGGACGTTGAGAGAGGAGGCAACATCGAGTCTGGCAGCTCAACATCACTGCAGCTCAACTGAGGGAAGAACACTTTATGGAGAGATGTCCAACCAAAAGGGCTGCAAACAAGGAGAAAAATCTTCAGATAAGCAAATGCATCAGCAAGCCAAAAACTCCAGGCAAGATGAATATGGTACTTCTGTCAACAAAGAGCTAATGGTTTATGCAAACAAGGTTGCTTCAGACATGGTGTTCTCATTCTTGAAGACCATGAAGGTCGAAAAGAAGGGCAACAAGCATGCTCCAGCTTGCCTGGTTTTGAAGACAACAGCTCTCAAACACACCAGAGATGTTATATCAGACTTGATAGACTCAATAATGAAAAATCTGCATAGTGTCACAGGTGAGCTCATGACAGACTCTGGCTTCGTTGCTACTGTGAAGAAAAATCTATTCAGTGTAGCGAACCAGAAGTCTACTGAAATTCTGGAAGCAATGGTTAAACGCCTTTTTCAAGCCCTAGCAGGAGAAGATAAGGGACAATCCAGGT